AATTGCCTATTTATTTACTTTCTATTTCCTAATTGACCCAATCCAATGACATTATCTTCACCATTACTAAAAAATTGTTGAATCTAATGCAACAACGAGAAATAACTTGAAACTGCAAATGAAACTGAACTGTATGATACTTCTCATTAACCTTAGAATGAAAATACGGAACAGGTTTTATACAAAGATAACATACTAAACAAATAACAGAAAACTGAATACAGTATTTTTGGTTTGACTAACTAATTCTCCTCCTCAAACCAAAAGCATCAACCACACCAATTTGTTCTGAGATATTTGAACCTTTCATATTTCAAAGCTTTTGTTAGAATATCCACAAGCTGCACCTCAGACCTTCAGTGTTCAACAATCAATGTTATTCCACAAGATGGGACATCGAGCAAGACGATTAGCGTCAGATTACATGACCTTTACCATCTCTCTCCACCATCAATACGTGCATCTACAATCTCTCCAATGATAATTCATGTACAATTAGGACATTCCAAGTTGACAAATTGTAGAAGGTGGTGCCAAGTTTGAACTTTTTCTATTGAAATCTAACTAAATCTTAGTGATAATGCTTATGAACATGTCTCAAATTCTAAGAGTTCATGACATCCAATGATATTTTTCATCAAACTTGACATCCTCATATCAACAAAATGGAGTAGATGAACCTAACAACAAACATAACCTGAAAACAAACATGTTACTGAAATTACTCGGACAGTTTTTCACAGTCATGTTCCTCGCAGGTTTTGGGAGATGTTGTCCTAATAGCATGTTGTCTCCTTAGCCAGATGTCATCATCCATTCTTAATGATCATGTACCCACTCTATTTTTCTTCATTTCCCTCATTATAATCTTCTTCCACATTTTTTGGTATCACATGTTTTACACATAACCTAATAACACCTTGTGAAGATAAATTTCACTTAGGGTTCAAATGTATCTTCGATGGATATCATCATTCTCAAAAAGGGTATTTGTGGTTTTCTCCTAATCTTAATCAGTACTCAGTTTTTGTTGATGTCTCTCTCTATGTTTGTCACATAGTATACTAATGAAGACATATGCAGTCACTTTCCCACCTCGTGATGCTTTTCCACCACATCTTCAAGTATATAAACACAACCCATGACCTACTTCATCCTAGGGCAAGACTATTCTTCAACGAATAATGACAAAGTACAGGTCATGAATGATCCTTTCCCAACATTATCTCCGGCCTCCTCTAAAAATGACAAGTCTATTGCCATTTGAAAAGGTATACATTCTACCCCCATTATATTAACCTCAATTATCATTGACTTTCCACCAAACACTATTCTTGTTGCTAATTCTCCAAGTGAAGTTTTATCTTATTTCAGGTGGCAACAATTGATGATTGATGACATATTTTTCCCTTCAAAGTAGTGATACTTAAGAGTTTGTTCCTCATCCATTTGGAATATCACTTGAAGACGTCCAATTCGACCACCACATCCTTGCTTCCTACCATCTCTTCCACTAGGTATTGCCATTGCCAAAGTTTCAACAACTTAAACTAAAGTTTCATCTTTTATTGAGGTAGGCACAAGAAATCTAATGATTAAGCTCTCCACCTAAGGTATTTAATCACTAGCCAGAATTTGATCGAATACACAATTAAAATCTAAATGTAAACTTCTCAAAATCAAAACCATGTAAAACTTATCAAGTTTTTTGTTGACATCCTCCAATGAGTCAGCCACAAGGAATCTCTTCATTTCTTCTATAATACCCAAGTTTTTCCTACATGAGAGATAATAAATAGTTGGTATGTTTGAGGGAGGCTAGGGCTTAAAGATATTTTCAGCCTAAAAATCTTCGATGTTTTTCCTACATCGAAGAGACACTAAAATCATTAGCAAAGATATTTTCAGCCTTCTTCTGAAAAGAAGAGCATGTCTTAAAGGATCTAAGTATTTCTAAGACATATCTGGTTCATTCAAAACTAAATTTTAAAGATTCAATAAATTTTGATATATAGTTATAGTCATAAGTTGTAAGTTTAATAGTAAGAACCTAATCAAAATATCTAATATTTATTAAGGTTATCTAATTTTATGATAAACTAAAATCAAATTAATCAATCATAACTGTTAAAAGGAATCAGTTATAGTTAGCTTCCTATTATAATAATGAATATCCCATCAGTCATAAATAATATATATTATATACTATAAAATATATATATACCATATTTATATAGAAACAATTAAAAATGGCGGGACATAAGGTCATGGCCTAATTGGCCTCATTGTACACGGCACCACCCAACCATGGATATTTTGCCTTGCTTGTTAGTGCTGTGACTCATCTGGTAATCCTTTAGCCTTTGTCTCACAGTCCTTCTCTCTTAGAGACTAGATATTTGACTTTAGTATCTTTGATCATATGAATGGTAACCAATGATTTTTCTCTGAGTTGTCCTTCTCAGATTCGTTGCCTTCTATTACCCTCACAAATGACTCATACATAAAAGTTCACGGCATTGATCAATACCACCTACTTCATAAACTCCTTTTACACTCTGTTTTGTTTGTCCCTAGTAGTCCATTTAATTTAATTTTTATTAGCAAACTCAGCTGTTCTCTTCACTTTTTTGTGTTGTTTGTTAATAATTGTTAAACTCTAGAGAAGAGAGAAACATTGAGTTGAAACTGTGTTTATAACACAGCACAGGTACTCTATTTATATTGGAAAAAAGGATTCAATACAATAAAAAGAAGAGATTTGATATCCTTTGTAAGGTTCCTATTTCAAGAACCTAAGGTAAACGCACACTAAACACACCAGAAACTTCTGTATAACTCTCGTTGTATTATCCACAAACACGAATACAATTTTGAATACAACTAGAGAGCTTAACCACACCAGAAACTTCTGTATAACTCTCGTTGTATTATCCACAAACACAAATACAATTTTGAATACAACTAGAGAGCTTAACCTCCCCCTACAGGAGTCACGCTTCCTGTACAGCTCACAAAACAACCCCCCCCCCTCGTCTCTATTCAATTATTCACCCTTTTATACTACCCATCCCGCCTTTCCTAACTGTTATCGCAGTTAGGCTAACTAACTTCTAATTACTTCTCTTTCTCCTCTCATATACACGTAACTTCCTAACATTAACCTCCCCTTCTTCAGCAACCTTGTCCTCAAGGTTGAAATTAAAATCAGGATACTGATCTTGGATAGTCAACACGTCTTCCCACGTAGCTCTTTCGCTGCCACCCTCCTGCCACTGAACCAGGATCTGTTGTATTTTCTCATTCCCTTGTTGTCGTTGCCTCGTCCCCAACACTCCCACTGGCCAATATGTAGGCCCCTCTGCTTGTAGCTCAGCTGGTAGGTCCTTCTCAACCTTCTTTGTTCCCATTGCTTTTTTAAGTTGTGACACATGAAAGACTGCATGTATACGTGCATTTTCTGGCAGCTGTAGTCGGAATGCCGCTGGTCCGACCTGCCGGATCGAGAGAGGGGTTGACGGAGATGGCGAGCAAAACGGAGGGAAGGTTGGAGACCCTTGAAATTATTGTAGAAGGGATTAAGGCGGAAACCGTTGCGATACGACAGGACATGCAGTAGATGATGCGACTCATGGGAGGAGGAGCGAACAATCAAGATGGAAGGTCTGACGGAAGCAGTAATTCAGTGAACGATAATCAAGAGAAATGTGATCAAGGTAGCTTCCAACATAATTGGCAGAAACGGGTGGACCTATCGGCGTTTGAGGGAATGGAGCCGCACAGTTGGATTAATTGGGCAAAACGTTTCTTCGACATCCAGAAGGTAGCGGAGGATGACAAGGTGGAACTTGCCTACATTAGCATGGAAGGTAGTGCGAGTTATTGGTTTAAGGTCGAACCAAATGTTAGGTTCCTAATTCAAGAACCTAAGGTAAACGCACACTAAACACACCAGGAACTTCTGTATAACTGTCGTTGTATTATCCACAAACACGAGTACAATGCCTGGATACAGCTAGAGAGCTTAACCTCCCCCCTACAGGAGTCACGCTTCCTCTTCCTGTACAACTCACAAAACAACCCCCCCTCGTCTCTATTCAATTATTCACCCTTTTATACTACCCATCCCGCCTTTCCTAACTGTTATCGCAGTTAGGCTAACTAACTTCTAATTACTTCTCTTTCTCCTCTCATATACACGTAACTTCCTAACATCCTCTAATAACAAAGATATGATTCAAGAATATATAAAAAAGATTCTAACAATACGGATGTAATCTAGATATTCCTGATTATATAGGATTAGTTCTTTATTTCTATAATTATATCAATATTCTTGATTATATAGGTTCAGCTTCTTATATCTATAATTATAACAACATTCCTGATTACATAGGATCACTACATTATTTTGTATATTTATAACAACTATTTTGTTCTAGAATAGGATGGATGGACAAACGATAGGACTGGGACATGAGTATTGGGGATTGTATTGGCTATCACCATCCGTTGGTTGTCTTCGTTGCTATGCTAAACTTTCTCATTAATGCCTTGGTCACCCTATCCTAGAAAATTTGTACTTTTAGTTCTTAGTGTTTCTGCCCTTAAGTCATTAATTGTGCTTTATGTCAATTAGGAAAACATATTTGTCACTCTATACTCCTCAAGTCAATAGGACTTAGTTTCTTATCCTATCCGACCATAACCTCGTAGGGAAGATGAAGTTTCAATTTATACAATGAAGTTCTGAAAATACAAATGAAGAAAGACTAAATACTGTGAGGAAGAGAGAAAGAGTACAATTTCTTTAGTGAAACTGATTGATTGTACAGTACTTAGGCTCTACAGAATAACTATCTATCTACAAAATCTTAACAGACTAAGCGGTTCCAGAACATCTATATTATATATAGACTCTTCATAGACTAAGTGACGCATATTATTAACTTGAAAGCGGCACTTGGATCAAATTCAAATTTTGAAAGTGGGAATCAAACCTCGTCAAGAGATCTATGTCCATGATCTATTTTAGTGGCTTCAGCCTCCAGGGCGTTTTCCCTGCATTACAATTTACAAAAGTATAAGTGATACAATCTTTGGAATAAAAATCTCTACAAAAGTTTAGTTTCACAATTCCAGGAATTCTAGTAACGCTATAAAATATAAAATACATTGTATAAACTACCTTCAAAAAAACTGTTTCCCCATACAAGCAAATTAATTCAACATCACATGGTATCGGCATTGTTTGCACGTGGGTCCCAGTGCAAAAAACAAGCACACCAGTAGGTAACACATTGATTTTCAACATCCCCCAAGTAAATTAAAATTTAATTTATATTTTATTAGGTTAAATTTAAATAAACTTAAAATTTAATTTATATTTAATTTAATTCATATTAAATTTTATATTCTTTTGTAATTTTATTTTAAAATTTTATAAAATATATTTTTATAAATATTCATGAGTATCCATGGATATCTACGGATTTTTTAAAACCTATGGCAGATATTTTTTAAATAGATATTCGATAGGTAATGTGATGGGTATTTTTTGTTATGGGTCGAGTAGTGAATAGGTATTACTCATGTCCAACCAAACCTGTTGTCATCCCTACTATTAGAACCATTAAAATCCACTCAAAGACCCGTCTTAGTGGATTACATGTGTCAAGGAAGGGGATCTGAAAATCAGATGGTGGAAGGCAGGTGTGAGCAGCTGATTAGTCGTTCGGTTTTCACGTTGGAAGAAAAACTCTAAGTTTTTAAAATTTCACGCCACTTTCTACATGCACCCTTCTTCCCTAGATTTCTGAAAATTCCATTCTCTCCTCCTTCTCTCTAAAAAGCTCTTACTTCTCTCTAAGGATTCTCATCGTTTCTTCCTCCGATCATCACTCAGGCACCATTTCCACTCTTTCGGTGTCAAGGGCTTTCGATTGAACCGATCGGTTTGTGAAGCTGAGCTGGTAAGTTCTTCTCTTCACTCAGTCGTGTGGTTTTCTGGACATGCAAATTAAGTTTTGGTTTCATGTGTTGATCACTCTTCTAAAAATGAGTAGTTTTGATAGTATTTTGGTTTTTACTTGGTTTAGTTTTGGAGATTTGTTGAGCGTTGAGGGTAGAAGGATTTGTAGAGGTGAACCAGTAATCATACCTGTGAGCGTTCGGTCACGTTAGAGGTAAGGGAAGCTTATATAATTTGAATTTTATTCTCGTTCTTGAATGTTGGCATGCTTGATTGATTGTTGGATGAAATATGAAGTATGATTGTTACTATGTTTTGGCTGTATGAAGATAAATGCTGAGGAATGAATTAATAAGAGTATGTAATTCCATATGAAGATTGATGTTCGTCACTGAAGGTCTTTGACCGTTCGGTTTTCTCGTGGACTCGGTTGGAACTGGATTCTTTCATTTGGATGGAATTCCAGTTGAGGACCGAGCGTCTTCGTTTAGTAATATATATATATATATATATATATATATATATATATATATATATGTATATATATATATATAAGCGTTCAACCAAGGATATTCGTTCCTTGGTATTCTGTTATAAATTAAAGTATATCTATATGTAATTGTATATTTCGTTCGTCCTTGAACATTAGTTAAATGATATCTTATATTTATCAAGCCGTTATTCTATAAATTAAGTAGTGCTCGGTCTTACATCAAGCGCTCGTACTATGTAATGCTCGGTCTTACACCAAGTACTCGTACTAAGTGTTAGGTCTTACACCAAGTGCTCGTTCTCCTTTCTATAATCTATCTTGATAATAAGAGCGTTCATCGAAACTCAACAATGTTCTCTCTCCACCGTGCTCGGTCTTAGACTGGCATTCGATTTTGTTGATGATCAACTCATAAAAAAGCTAAGTATTTATAGCATTCGGTTCCTTCATATGATTCCTTTAAGTACTATCATTTGATGTCTTACAGTGTCTGTCTCCATTGGTTTCGGCCTAGAGTCTTAGTACTCGGCCTAGGCTTTACTGTGTTCGGTCTAAACGCTCATGAGTCAGCTCATTAAATTGGCTCACTTTGTAAATATCATTCGCTTCTATTAGTCCGTGTGAAATATTATTGTAATCGGTCTCTTCCCAACCCCGATAGTCACTCTCTCGGTTTTGATCCGTTTTGGACTAGAAACCTCTCGGTCTCACTCCAAGTGTTCGGTCTCGTTCGGGGTTGAAGATTTAGTTCGGTATTTGGTATCCTAAGGGATCTTTGTTCAAATTGGTTCAGTTGAGGTTTAATACTGAAAGATGATGGAGTACGATATGGATGAAACGTATTTGATTATGAAAGAGTATTCCGGAGAGGAATATCTCATGAATGAATATTGGAATCGGAGAGGAATATCTCATGAATGAATATTGGAATTGGTAAAGTATGAATATGGGCACGCTAAGCTGGCAGTTCATCCTGATATTCCATGATTACTCGTTCTCACGTAGAGAAGGGTAAGTCATGTATGGGAATGGCAGGAGATCCTAGTCCTTATGGTTAATTTGGACAGATAGGAACTAACCTCGGGTGGCAACTGTTGAGGGTTTCCCAGTTACCACATCACCCGGGTGCACGAACGTCGTAGCTACATAGAATTCATACAGTCCGGACAGTCAGAGTCTAGTATTAGGCTTTGCATGAAAGAGTTAATGATTTTATCTGATTTAATTGATTGTGTGTAATATATGTCGATACATGAATTAAATTACATAAGCTTACCCTATTTTTCTGTCTTGTCTGTTTTGTACGTTCCGTTGTTGTCCTGTCGCAATGATCATCCATGTGGATGTGAGCAGAAGGAGACGAGCTGCTTCCAGCAGCTCTGGAAAAAGAAAGTTTAGTCGAGGTAGAAGTTAAAACCGAACAGTCGAACCATTCGGTCAGTATTTAGTTTAATTGTACGATGATCGTTCGATCATCTTTTCCCTTTTTCTTTTGTATGACCTTTCGGTATAGATCTTTTGTAAACCGTTCGGTCAGGATTGAGTAATTGTACAGTTTTAACTTTCTAGTTATTCTGTAAAGTCGTTCGGCCATAAGCGTACATCCTATCTTATGTAAGACTGATCTGTAGTATTATTAACATGTGATTATTCTATTATATAGTTTTATACTGTATTTTTGGGATGTTACACCTACTAATAACAAAGATAAGATACTAAAAAAGTAAAAATGTTCCTAACAATACATGTATATTCTTGATTATATATGATTTACTCCTTATTTCTATGATTATAACACTTCCTCTCAAGCTAGATCATACAAACTAATGTGACCAACTTGTGGCAAATATATTTGATCCTTAATCCTCTAACAGATTTTGTGAATATGTCAACCAACTATTTACTAGAGTTGACAAATCTAGTGGTGATGTCTCTAAACTGACAATCATCCTCAATATGTTTCGTCCTAATGAAAGACAAGATTAGAGGCAATGTATAGCGTTGCTTGGTTGTAACAAATAAGGTAGGAGTTATTTTAGCCATATGAACTCACAAGTCACTAATGTCATCACTATGTATTCTACTTCTATACTCGATCTTGACCTTTTCCATTTCATCTTCACTTATTGCAAAGACTCTACTCCATAATGGAAAACTAATAAAAAGACTATCTTTATTACAAGTGTTATGTTTATATTGGAGGAAGTGTACTCATGACCTTGAAGAAAGAGGGAATGATATAATCTAGACTGGTCAATATAATTTTGGGTATTTTTGCAAATTTTGTTATGTTTTTAATTAAGCGTTCACTTGCTAGAATATAAAGAATAAAGAAGATGGACTGATTTGCATGATAGACCTACAAAAGTATATCATCTAATACTATTTTCTACATGTTGATGAAAACTTAGAGCCCAATTTGAAGAAAACATGACAAGGCGAAATTGGCATTACGCATTATCTAGAAGAAGCATTGAGGGGCTGAAGTTTAAGTAGTTGGGCTAAGTAATTGCTTAAGCCAATTTTTCATCATTGTTAATGTAATTTTCGCATTTATTTTTATTTCAATATTTCATGTCTTTTAGGATGGTCTAGGTCAGTTTTTTAGTATTCTTAGGTGAACTATAGTGGAAGATAAGTGCTAGTGGGAATTTATTTCTAGGTGGAGTCTTGACGGGTATGTACCACTCGTTGCCATCTAAGCTTTATTGATATGAACATTATGTAAGAAGTTGGGACATATATATGAATTCTGAAAGAAAATTAAGTTCTCTTTGTAAGAACTTTATGGATTCTGAGTTATAAGAACACATTTGATCTTATTAGAGTACATGTGGCAATCGACCCTATAAGTTTAGCACTAACCTCATCTTTTTGAGTTATCACTAACCTCATCTTTCTTGACTATAGCATCAATATTCTTTCCCAAACTAAATATAAGAGTAGTAATTCTTCCCTTTTCTCATCATAAATTCAACTCCTTTTATGTGATTATGGTTATCCAATTTAAATAAAAGTAAATTCTTTTCTAAAAGAAGAGGTCTTTGCGGATAAAATTTAGCAATGCGATAACAGATATTTTATTGAAAAAATGAAGTTTTTACTATGAAAGCTATGGCACATGAAATACATATTTGACCAGTTACAAAGACAAACAACAAAGCACCTATGACAACCTTTCAAACATTCTTGGTGAATATTTTGACAAGACTATAAAACAAAAGCATATGCAATTGTAACATGCAGTCACTACACTGGTTTCATTCAGTTGTTCTTATGCAGCTTTCAGCTATCGATTAATATCCTGGTCTTTATTTTACCCCAAAACAATGTATGGTTTTGATGCCTAAATATCAGTGTTGACGAATGTGAATGCAACTATTTGAGTGAAAATATATAGTAAATATAGAATTCCATTCATAGCTAACCTAATCATCCCAAGTTCTTCCATACATTCCATCAGCTTCTTGTGCCTAAAATAAAAGAAAAAAACACATAAGAATTTATTTAATTGGTAGTGTTTTGTCAAACCATAAAAAAGCATGGTTCAAGTTACCCCGTTGACAGAAACTCAGCTGCTTTAACATTTGAAGGGCTCTCTGGCCATGTACTGTATTTAATAAAGCTCTGAATCCAATGAGAGCAAGCATCAAAAGCTTGGGGCACTGCATCAGGATTTGGAGGACCTTCTTGTTTATTTCTATGCATATGAGACTGTTTTGAAACACTGGTGATTCCAGGATAAAAAGGAAGCCAATCCAACTCTTCACAAACTACCTACGCAGTCAACAGGCCTTTAGCAGTTAAAATAACTAAATGATTAAGCATGTCTGCCAACTTTAATGACCATAAATACTAACCTCCACATAAAATTGATATGAACTAATTGATGAGAGCTGAGGGTAGTATAAAATACTGCCTCCAATAAGATACCTGCACCAAACAGTCGTGAAAAAAAAAAAGAAATACATAAATATTCATAGAAAGCATAAACAGAGTTAATAATAAATATTTGAGTTTGAATTTGATGGGAAAAGAAAGAAGACATACTCTTGCAGTGATATGGTGCATAAAGTCACTAACCTAAAACACTTACTTATTCTAATTATCTAAGCCAAGCACTAGTTTAGTACTCTAAAAGACACTACAGAAAAAGAAACACACATACAAACACACAAAACCCTAAACCCTAAAAGCCACTAATATGATAAGACTCCTAAAACAATAAGAAAAATACTTTTTTAACAACAGGGAAAACATATAAACAAGTTGTACCTGATGAAATCTTCGATTGGATCATCCAGAGTTTCAAAACCGTTTGTCAAAAGAAATGACCTTGTACTTCTGCCTAAAGCAATAAAGAACCCAAAAACAGCCAAATCCTTCTCCAAGACCTGCACTAAACCAACTTTCAATTCAAGCTTTTTATAGCAACAAAGCACTAACATGAGCACTAACATGAACGAAAGAGGACTTGTTACATTCAACTAAACTCATCTCTTCGGTCCTTTTTTATTCCATTCACTGATTTTTTTTTTCTTTTGAAACATTTTGATGATTATGCGATAGATTTTTATTGATATTTGTAGATTCCTTCCATGTTTCCTACTTTACTTTATTCAAGAGATTACTGTATCATATCTTCGATCTAAGGATTACTTTCCTTTTCTGTACACGATGTATTATCGAAGAGATTGTTGTATCATATCTTATATGGAGATAATGAGGCAGAAAAATATTGTTGATGCGGTTTTGCTACATATGGAGCAGTGATAGTTTCACCCAAGGGAGGCAATTTCAAAATGAGAACACAGGGTTTGACCGCTAACATTCTCTAGCAATAACACAGTTAATTCATGTTCTGATCAAGGCCAAGAAAAGTATAGATCACATATATATATGGCATTGATTATTTAATGTAAATTAAGAAGTATAGGCTTCAATGTGGTTTTAGTCATTCAAGTTTGGGTTACTTTTTCTTTTAGTGCTCCAAATTAAAAGTTGCACTTTTTAGTCCATGAATTTCAAAAATTGTTCTTTTTGATCCCTCAGCACTAACGGTATTATTCTTGTTGCTGACATGGCTAGCGATGTCTACATCAACAATAACAAGTATAACTAAAATACTGATGTGGAAATTCAATTTTCAAATTTTCGGCTAAAATATTTTTTAATCTCTCAAATTTAGGTCAAATTTTATTTTAGCCAATCAAATTAAAAAATAAATTAATTAATAGCTCTAATTCAAGACTAAATGTGAAAATTTTGTTTCATTCAACTCCTTTATGTAAAAAATTAAGGGATGGAAAATTCAAAAAAAAAAATTGACTCATAATCTGTGTCAACCTTTTTGTTATATGAATAGGTTTAAGTGACCAACAATGTTTTCTAACAACTTTGAATCAGTTCATGTACATCCCTTTTATTGATCATTGGATGATTATATCCGTGTCCTAAGATAGCTTCAAAACACTCCAAGACAAGACAGGGTCTACTATATGAAGATAAAAGGAATACCCAACTATTTGGGTATTATGATGTTGATTGAGCTGCATCCCTATGGAAAGACATTATACTTTTCATTCGAGATATTATTACTTGGAAAGGCAAGAAACAAAATGTAGTTGAATCTGAATATTATTTCTTGTTCAATCAATTGTTGAAGTTGGATAAAAGGCAATGGCATCTTCCACTTGTGAGCTTGAGTGGGTTAAACAGTTCCCCTAAGAATTAAATTTTGTGAGATTCAACAAATGAAGATGATAATCAAGAAGCTCGTCACATTGCTTCTAATCTTGTGTTCTATGATAGGATCAAATACATATAGATGGATTGTCATTTTATTAGAGAAAAGTTGTTATCAAAGGAGATTGGTACCAAATTTGACAGATCCAATAATCAACTTGTTCATGTATTAACCAAATTGTTGAGAGGGCCTCAAATTGAATTTATTTGTTTCAAGCTTAGTGCATACAATTTGTATGCTCTAACTTGAGAGGCAATGTTAGAATAGGTTCAAAATAGCCTAAGTAAGCTTTATTATAAGTTATTTTGGTTTGTACCTATCTCTGCCTAGGGTCCTAGATTTCCCTTTACTTGTTTTTTACTCTTTCCTTCCTTTTATTGTATCAGATCAGTTTCCATATAACTATGAAAANCTTTCTCCTCTCATATACACGTAACTTCCTAACATCCTCTAATAACAAAGATATGATTCAAGAATATATAAAAAAGATTCTAACAATACGGATGTAATCTAGATATTCCTGATTATATAGGATTAGTTCTTTATTTCTATAATTATATCAATATTCTTGATTATATAGGTTCAGCTTCTTATATCTATAATTATAACAACATTCCTGATTACATAGGATCACTACATTATTTTGTATATTTATAACAACTATTTTGTTCTAGAATAGGATGGATGGACAAACGATAGGACTGGGACATGAGTATTGGGGATTGTATTGGCTATCACCATCCGTTGGTTGTCTTCGTTGCTATGCTAAACTTTCTCATTAATGCCTTGGTCACCCTATCCTAGAAAATTTGTACTTTTAGTTCTTAGTGTTTCTGCCCTTAAGTCATTAATTGTGCTTTATGTCAATTAGGAAAACATATTTGTCACTCTATACTCCTCAAGTCAATAGGACTTAGTTTCTTATCCTATCCGACCATAACCTCGTAGGGAAGATGAAGTTTCAATTTATACAATGAAGTTCTGAAAATACAAATGAAGAAAGACTAAATACTGTGAGGAAGAGAGAAAGAGTACAATTTCTTTAGTGAAACTGATTGATTGTACAGTACTTAGGCTCTACAGAATAACTATCTATCTACAAAATCTTAACAGACTAAGCGGTTCCAGAACATCTATATTATATATAGACTCTTCATAGACTAAGTGACGCATATTATTAACTTGAAAGCGGCACTTGGATCAAATTCAAATTTTGAAAGTGGGAATCAAACCTCGTCAAGAGATCTATGTCCATGATCTATTTTAGTGGCTTCAGCCTCCAGGGCGTTTTCCCTGCATTACAATTTACAAAAGTATAAGTGATACAATCTTTGGAATAAAAATCTCTACAAAAGTTTAGTTTCACAATTCCAGGAATTCTAGTAACGCTATAAAATATAAAATACATTGTATAAACTACCTTCAAAAAAACTGTTTCCCCATACAAGCAAATTAATTCAACATCACATGGTATCGGCATTGTTTGCACGTGGGTCCCAGTGCAAAAAACAAGCACACCAGTAGGTAACACATTGATTTTCAACATCCCCCAAGTAAATTAAAATTTAATTTATATTTTATTAGGTTAAATTTAAATAAACTTAAAATTTAATTTATATTTAATTTAATTCATATTAAATTTTATATTCTTTTGTAATTTTATTTTAAAATTTTATAAAATATATTTTTATAAATATTCATGAGTATCCATGGATATCTACGGATTTTTTAAAACCTATGGCAGATATTTTTTAAATAGATATTCGATAGGTAATGTGATGGGTATTTTTTGTTATGGGTCGAGTAGTGAATAGGTATTACTCATGTCCAACCAAACCTGTTGTCATCCCTACTATTAGAACCATTAAAATCCACTCAAAGACCCGTCTTAGTGGATTACATGTGTCAAGGAAGGGGATCTGAAAATCAGATGGTGGAAGGCAGGTGTGAGCAGCTGATTAGTCGTTCGGTTTTCACGTTGGAAGAAAAACTCTAAGTTTTTAAAATTTCACGCCACTTTCTACATGCACCCTTCTTCCCTAGATTTCTGAAAATTCCATTCTCTCCTCCTTCTCTCTAAAAAGCTCTTACTTCTCTCTAAGGATTCTCATCGTTTCTTCCTCCGATCATCACTCAGGCACCATTTCCACTCTTTCGGTGTCAAGGGCTTTCGATTGAACCGATCGGTTTGTGAAGCTGAGCTGGTAAGTTCTTCTCTTCACTCAGTCGTGTGGTTTTCTGGACATGCAAATTAAGTTTTGGTTTCATGTGTTGATCACTCTTCTAAAAATGAGTAGTTTTGATAGTATTTTGGTTTTTACTTGGTTTAGTTTTGGAGATTTGTTGAGCGTTGAGGGTAGAAGGATTTGTAGAGGTGAACCAGTAATCATACCTGTGAGCGTTCGGTCACGTTAGAGGTAAGGGAAGCTTATATAATTTGAATTTTATTCTCGTTCTTGAATGTTGGCATGCTTGATTGATTGTTGGATGAAATATGAAGTATGATTGTTACTATGTTTTGGCTGTATGAAGATAAATGCTGAGGAATGAATTAATAAGAGTATGTAATTCCATATGAAGATTGATGTTCGTCACTGAAGGTCTTTGACCGTTCGGTTTTCTCGTGGACTCGGTTGGAACTGGATTCTTTCATTTGGATGGAATTCCAGTTGAGGACCGAGCGTCTTCGTTTAGTAATATATATATATATATATATATATATATATATATATATATATATATATATATATATATATATATATATATATATATATATATATATATATATATATATATATATATATATATATATATATGTATATATATATATATAAGCGTTCAACCAAGGATATTCGTTCCTTGGTATTCTGTTATAAATTAAAGTATATCTATATGTAATTGTATATTTCGTTCGTCCTTGAACATTAGTTAAATGATATCTTATATTTATCAAGCCGTTATTCTATAAATTAAGTAGTGCTCGGTCTTACATCAAGCGCTCGTACTATGTAATGCTCGGTCTTACACCAAGTACTCGTACTAAGTGTTAGGTCTTACACCAAGTGCTCGTTCTCCTTTCTATAATCTATCTTGATAATAAGAGCGTTCATCGAAACTCAACAATGTTCTCTCTCCACCGTGCTCGGTCTTAGACTGGCATTCGATTTTGTTGATGATCAACTCATAAAAAAGCTAAGTATTTATAGCATTCGGTTCCTTCATATGATTCCTTTAAGTACTATCATTTGATGTCTTACAGTGTATGTCTCCATTGGTTTCGGCCTAGAGTCTTAGTACTCGGCCTAGGCTTTACTGTGTTCGGTCTAAACGCTCATGAGTCAGCTCATTAAATTGGCTCACTTTGTAAATATCATTCGCTTCTATTAGTCCGTGTGAAATATTATTGTAATCGGTCTCTTCCCAACCCCGATAGTCACTCTCTCGGTTTTGATCCGTTTTGGACTAGAAACCTCTCGGTCTCACTCCAAGTGTTCGGTCTCGTTCGGGGTTGAAGATTTACGTTCGGTATTTGGTATCCTAAGGGATCTTTGTTCAAATTGGTTCAGTTGAGGTTTAATACTGAAAGATGATGGAGTACGATATGGATGAAACGTATTTGATTATGAAAGAGTATTCCGGAGAGGAATATCTCATGAATGAATATTGGAATCGGAGAGGAATATCTCATGAATGAATATTGGAATTGGTAAAGTATGAATATGGGCACGCTAAGCTGGCAGTTCATCCTGATATTCCATGATTACTCGTTCTCACGTAGAGAAGGGTAAGTCATGTATGGGAATGGCAGGAGATCCTAGTCCTTATGGTTAATTTGGACAGATAGGAACTAACCTCGGGTGGCAACTGTTGAGGGTTTCCCAGTTACCACATCACCCGGGTGCACGAACGTCGTAGCTACATAGAATTCATACAGTCCGGACAGTCAGAGTCTAGTATTAGGCTTTGCATGAAAGAGTTAATGATTTTATCTGATTTAATTGATTGTGTGTAATATATGTCGATACATGAATTAAATTACATAAGCTTACCCTATTTTTCTGTCTTGTCTGTTTTGTACGTTCCGTTGTTGTCCTGTCGCAATGATCATCCATGTGGATGTGAGCAGAAGGAGACGAGCTGCTTCCAGCAGCTCTGGAAAAAGAAAGTTTAGTCGAGGTAGAAGTTAAAACCGAACAGTCGAACCATTCGGTCAGTATTTAGTTTAATTGTACGATGATCGTTCGATCATCTTTTCCCTTTTTCTTTTGTATGACCTTTCGGTATAGATCTTTTGTAAACCGTTCGGTCAGGATTGAGTAATTGTACAGTTTTAACTTTCTAGTTATTCTGTAAAGTCGTTCGGCCATAAGCGTACATCCTATCTTATGTAAGACTGATCTGTAGTATTATTAACATGTGATTATTCTATTATATAGTTTTATACTGTATTTTTGGGATGTTACACCTACTAATAACAAAGATAAGATACTAAAAAAGTAAAAATGTTCCTAACAATACATGTATATTCTTGATTATATATGATTTACTCCTTATTTCTATGATTATAACACTTCCTCTCAAGCTAGATCATACAAACTAATGTGACCAACTTGTGGCAAATATATTTGATCCTTAATCCTCTAACAGATTTTGTGAATATGTCAACCAACTATTTACTAGAGTTGACAAATCTAGTGGTGATGTCTCTAAACTGACAATCATCCTCAATATGTTTCGTCCTAATGAAAGACAAGATTAGAGGCAATGTATAGCGTTGCTTGGTTGTAACAAATAAGGTAGGAGTTATTTTAGCCATATGAACTCACAAGTCACTAATGTCATCACTATGTATTCTACTTCTATACTCGATCTTGACCTTTTCCATTTCATCTTCACTTATTGCAAAGACTCTACTCCATAATGGAAAACTAATAAAAAGACTATCTTTATTACAAGTGTTATGTTTATATTGGAGGAAGTGTACTCATGACCTTGAAGAAAGAGGGAATGATATAATCTAGACTGGTCAATATAATTTTGGGTATTTTTGCAAATTTTGTTATGTTTTTAATTAAGCGTTCACTTGCTAGAATATAAAGAATAAAGAAGATGGACTGATTTGCATGATAGACCTACAAAAGTATATCATCTAATACTATTTTCTACATGTTGATGAAAACTTAGAGCCCAATTTGAAGAAAACATGACAAGGCGAAATTGGCATTACGCATTATCTAGAAGAAGCATTGAGGGGCTGAAGTTTAAGTAGTTGGGCTAAGTAATTGCTTAAGCCAATTTTTCATCATTGTTAATGTAATTTTCGCATTTATTTTTATTTCAATATTTCATGTCTTTTAGGATGGTCTAGGTCAGTTTTTTAGTATTCTTAGGTGAACTATAGTGGAAGATAAGTGCTAGTGGGAATTTATTTCTAGGTGGAGTCTTGACGGGTATGTACCACTCGTTGCCATCTAAGCTTTATTGATATGAACATTATGTAAGAAGTTGGGACATATATATGAATTCTGAAAGAAAATTAAGTTCTCTTTGTAAGAACTTTATGGATTCTGAGTTATAAGAACACATTTGATCTTATTAGAGTACATGTGGCAATCGACCCTATAAGTTTAGCACTAACCTCATCTTTTTGAGTTATCACTAACCTCATCTTTCTTGACTATAGCATCAATATTCTTTCCCAAACTAAATATAAGAGTAGTAATTCTTCCCTTTTCTCATCATAAATTCAACTCCTTTTATGTGATTATGGTTATCCAATTTAAATAAAAGTAAATTCTTTTCTAAAAGAAGAGGTCTTTGCGGATAAAATTTAGCAATGCGATAACAGATATTTTATTGAAAAAATGAAGTTTTTACTATGAAAGCTATGGCACATGAAATACATATTTGACCAGTTACAAAGACAAACAACAAAGCACCTATGACAACCTTTCAAACATTCTTGGTGAATATTTTGACAAGACTATAAAACAAAAGCATATGCAATTGTAACATGCAGTCACTACACTGGTTTCATTCAGTTGTTCTTATGCAGCTTTCAGCTATCGATTAATATCCTGGTCTTTATTTTACCCCAAAACAATGTATGGTTTTGATGCCTAAATATCAGTGTTGACGAATGTGAATGCAACTATTTGAGTGAAAATATATAGTAAATATAGAATTCCATTCATAGCTAACCTAATCATCCCAAGTTCTTCCATACATTCCATCAGCTTCTTGTGCCTAAAATAAAAGAAAAAAACACATAAGAATTTATTTAATTGGTAGTGTTTTGTCAAACCATAAAAAAGCATGGTTCAAGTTACCCCGTTGACAGAAACTCAGCTGCTTTAACATTTGAAGGGCTCTCTGGCCATGTACTGTATTTAATAAAGCTCTGAATCCAATGAGAGCAAGCATCAAAAGCTTGGGGCACTGCATCAGGATTTGGAGGACCTTCTTGTTTATTTCTATGCATATGAGACTGTTTTGAAACACTGGTGATTCCAGGATAAAAAGGAAGCCAATCCAACTCTTCACAAACTACCTACGCAGTCAACAGGCCTTTAGCAGTTAAAATAACTAAATGATTAAGCATGTCTGCCAACTTTAATGACCATAAATACTAACCTCCACATAAAATTGATATGAACTAATTGATGAGAGCTGAGGGTAGTATAAAATACTGCCTCCAATAAGATACCTGCACCAAACAGTCGTGAAAAAAAAAAAGAAATACATAAATATTCATAGAAAGCATAAACAGAGTTAATAATAAATATTTGAGTTTGAATTTGATGGGAAAAGAAAGAAGACATACTCTTGCAGTGATATGGTGCATAAAGTCACTAACCTAAAACACTTACTTATTCTAATTATCTAAGCCAAGCACTAGTTTAGTACTCTAAAAGACACTACAGAAAAAGAAACACACATACAAACACACAAAACCCTAAACCCTAAAAGCCACTAATATGATAAGACTCCTAAAACAATAAGAAAAATACTTTTTTAACAACAGGGAAAACATATAAACAAGTTGTACCTGATGAAATCTTCGATTGGATCATCCAGAGTTTCAAAACCGTTTGTCAAAAGAAATGACCTTGTACTTCTGCCTAAAGCAATAAAGAACCCAAAAACAGCCAAATCCTTCTCCAAGACCTGCACTAAACCAACTTTCAATTCAAGCTTTTTATAGCAACAAAGCACTAACATGAGCACTAACATGAACGAAAGAGGACTTGTTACATTCAACTAAACTCATCTCTTCGGTCCTTTTTTATTCCATTCACTGATTTTTTTTTTCTTTTGAAACATTTTGATGATTATGCGATAGATTTTTATTGATATTTGTAGATTCCTTCCATGTTTCCTACTTTACTTTATTCAAGAGATTACTGTATCATATCTTCGATCTAAGGATTACTTTCCTTTTCTGTACACGATGTATTATCGAAGAGATTGTTGTATCATATCTTATATGGAGATAATGAGGCAGAAAAATATTGTTGATGCGGTTTTGCTACATATGGAGCAGTGATAGTTTCACCCAAGGGAGGCAATTTCAAAATGAGAACACAGGGTTTGACCGCTAACATTCTCTAGCAATAACACAGTTAATTCATGTTCTGATCAAGGCCAAGAAAAGTATAGATCACATATATATATGGCATTGATTATTTAATGTAAATTAAGAAGTATAGGCTTCAATGTGGTTTTAGTCATTCAAGTTTGGGTTACTTTTTCTTTTAGTGCTCCAAATTAAAAGTTGCACTTTTTAGTCCATGAATTTCAAAAATTGTTCTTTTTGATCCCTCAGCACTAACGGTATTATTCTTGTTGCTGACATGGCTAGCGATGTCTACATCAACAATAACAAGTATAACTAAAATACTGATGTGGAAATTCAATTTTCAAATTTTCGGCTAAAATATTTTTTAATCTCTCAAATTTAGGTCAAATTTTATTTTAGCCAATCAAATTAAAAAATAAATTAATTAATAGCTCTAATTCAAGACTAAATGTGAAAATTTTGTTTCATTCAACTCCTTTATGTAAAAAATTAAGGGATGGAAAATTCAAAAAAAAAAATTGACTCATAATCTGTGTCAACCTTTTTGTTATATGAATAGGTTTAAGTGACCAACAATGTTTTCTAACAACTTTGAATCAGTTCATGTACATCCCTTTTATTGATCATTGGATGATTATATCCGTGTCCTAAGATAGCTTCAAAACACTCCAAGACAAGACAGGGTCTACTATATGAAGATAAAAGGAATACCCAACTATTTGGGTATTATGATGTTGATTGAGCTGCATCCCTATGGAAAGACATTATACTTTTCATTCGAGATATTATTACTTGGAAAGGCAAGAAACAAAATGTAGTTGAATCTGAATATTATTTCTTGTTCAATCAATTGTTGAAGTTGGATAAAAGGCAATGGCATCTTCCACTTGTGAGCTTGAGTGGGTTAAACAGTTCCCCTAAGAATTAAATTTTGTGAGATTCAACAAATGAAGATGATAATCAAGAAGCTCGTCACATTGCTTCTAATCTTGTGTTCTATGATAGGATCAAATACATATAGATGGATTGTCATTTTATTAGAGAAAAGTTGTTATCAAAGGAGATTGGTACCAAATTTGACAGATCCAATAATCAACTTGTTCATGTATTAACCAAATTGTTGAGAGGGCCTCAAATTGAATTTATTTGTTTCAAGCTTAGTGCATACAATTTGTATGCTCTAACTTGAGAGGCAATGTTAGAATAGGTTCAAAATAGCCTAAGTAAGCTTTATTATAAGTTATTTTGGTTTGTACCTATCTCTGCCTAGGGTCCTAGATTTCCCTTTACTTGTTTTTTACTCTTTCCTTCCTTTTATTGTATCAGATCAGTTTCCATATAACTATGAAAACCTAAGGGAGGCTCTTCAAGCTCTTTAATACGTATATGTGTGTGTATTCCCTTTTTATTTTTCTCAAGTAGAGACTTAAAATGTCGATTTTTCATTTGAAAGACTAAAAAAATACTTTTTAAATTTGGGGAACTAAAATAAAATTTGACCTAAAATTTTAGGAATAAAATATATTTTAGCGAGAACTAAAAAACTAACTTTCAAAGATATGTGATATCCTCTAATAACAAAGATATTATTAAGTAATAAATAAAAATGTACTTAATAATACACATATAACCTAGATATTCTTGATTATATGGGATCAGCTCCTTATTTATATAAATGTACAGTTGACATGGATGTTGTTAGCCACACTAGCAAATAGTGTAATGCCGTGAGTGACAAGGGACCAAAAAGATCATTTTCTGAAATTTGGAGACTAACAAAAGCAATTTTTAGTATAACTAAAAATGACCTATATTTGAGGGACTGAACATATTTAAGCCAGAAATATATTAGAAAAGAAGTCATCCCCCTATCTCCCTTGGAGTTGGCTACTCTGCCACAATCCGGGATTGATAACTAAGATGAGGCAGTTATTTGTGTATTAATTTCAGAATAAGAAATTATAGCTCATGATGTGACAGTTTTAGTGTTACACAAGTTGAATTTCACATTTGTAGAAGGTAATTAAGATGTGAGATTGTAACTTTTAGTGTTTTGATTGAAGGAATCCTCATAAGGTGAAACTTCCTGTTTGTTCAAGTTTGTACTCAACCGAGCCTCAAAAACACAAGTTTCCATAATTTTTTTCTAAATTCAGTATTCTTGGACATTTAATCCAGCATGACCTCTCTAGAGTGGACAAAAGCAAGCACTCTTCGAAATTGAAGATAACTAACCTCAATACTTTCCGATGTTGTCAATCTTGACCATATTTTCTCCTTATCAATAGCTTGTTGCAGCTGCCTCTGAGCAAGATTTACCCAGAAAACAACCTCTTCTGAACCCCACTTCTCTTTAGCTCTACATGATGAAGCCCGAGGACCAAAATGTACAAGAAACTCTCTATGCAGACCAATGTTTTTTATGGAATTATAAGCTTGACTTACAGGAATCAAACCAACTAGCATGTCCATCAAACTACCGGTTATTTCTGTGATCATTGAAAAGAATTGTGAACAAGAAACTTTTGATGGACCAAGTTTAGCAATTGCAGAAATACACGTTAGTGCTAGCAGAAGAAGTGATAAGTCACTTCCACTGCTTACACCCACATTTTTTCCAGACCTGTAAATTCAGTTAAAAGATCATTAATGCATTTGAAAAAAATAATAATGATAATGATATCAAAGAAAAAAAACTGATCAGTAACAGTTAATATCTCAATATATAGATAAGTTAAGAGAAATCATACAAAGCAGTGGCAACAGAAAAGCGTCCATCCCCTTGTAACTTGTCAACAAAGGATGTCACTACAGCTGGAACTTGCTCAGACCAAAACCATTCATATGCTTCAGGGTGCTTGGCTGATAATTTTTCTCTAATTAAACTCTCCAGGGGAGAAGATAGCCTTAGCAAACTGAATCAATGCAACATTTGCAAAAGTTTTAGGCTCAAAGCTCTAAGGAGTAGTATAAAATATTAAAATTAAACAAACATAAAAAAAGAAAAAATATCCATGAATCGTTTTGGTGAATCAAGCACTATAAGGCAATCAAAATGGTTTAGAAATTTACAAGTATACAAACATTTTGTATAGTTAAAATTAGTATGTTTGATTTGAAACTTCCACATGAAAGTTAAAGCAGAAGTTACTTACTGCTACCTTAAACTTTCATTCCAAAATTCAAACCAGATTGTTCTGATATGAATTGGCTAAGAAGCAAAACACTTACCTGAATGATAGATAGAGTCTGGTGAAATAAAATATGAGTGACAAAATATATACTCCTTTTTAAACCCACTTTCTAAATTTTACATACGTTAATAAGTCTCATAAAAATAAGAGGCATTATCTTTTAATATTTATATTATACATTTAGCTGACTTTTCTTAAAGTTAAAAAAATTATACAATTTAAATAATATTAGTGTGTCCATAAATTTAGTGGTGTTGGCTCAAGTACCCAGTAGAAGTGTCAGCTTAAGTGTCCAAATTCACACAAATACTTTTTCAATTTGACACCTAACAAGATGTCTCAAATTCAGAAAGAATAATATATTTCTTCTGTATTTCAATATTGAGGCCATTGGTCCTATTAATACATGAGTCTATTGTTTATTTTAGGAAATATATAGAACTAATTCTAAGAAGAAATCCCTTTGTAATTATGGGATTGTTTTTAAATACATCATCCTAGTTTCCATAGCAAGATACAACTGCAATAAAGAATAAAACTACATCAAGGATAAAATTAAAAACCTTCCAAAATTACATAATGAGGAGCACAGTTTTGATAATAAGTGTTTGAGACATGTTAGACAAGTGTTGAGGACATGTTAGTGTCAAACATTTCCAACAAGAACAATTTAAACAAGAGACTTGTCCATGCTTCATAGGGAACTGGACCCCGGAAACACTTTTGAACAGCATGGGATACAGTTATAAATCCAACAGTGTGTAGTCTTTAAACAACTTTTCCATATTTTGCTCCAACATGAAAAATAAGGGGAAAAGTACCTGTCACTAAAAATTAAAATCAAAGGATCTTGATCCCCTCAAATTCATTAAAAACTTAGATTTCATAATAAAGACAAAAGTAATGCTTTTAAACTTTAGAATTTGATAATAAGATGTAAAATAGCTGTAGAAAACACACTCTGATATAAGATATAAAATGACCAAACCACTTATGTTATTATTTATGAAATAATTACTGTACATCTATCACAAGTTTACTCAACACACAAATTGAAGCTTAAAATTTTAATTCCTTCTGATGAATAAGTCAGACGTATTATTGTTTGCAAAGTTCAATGGAAGCAGGTAAGAATGAAACGAAATACGAAGAAACATTGCTACCTCCTTTGAACAAATATATTGACATTTCTGTCTCTACCATCGCTTTGAGATGAAATTTCACTTGCAGCATGCAGTAAGGAGTACACAGCAGCCTGAGAGAATTTATGTAACCTGTTTCTCAGTTGTTCTAGAATTTTGAAATTTTAAAAACAATGAGCTCAAGTGACTTGTGAGTTATGACTAATGAGGTCACAGCATTGTCTTAGCAAAGGCAATAGAAGAAATATGACTCAGATTAATTTATAATGAAGCATTCATATTACAGCAATATATAATTAGTTTCCATCAGTGCAAATGTTGTTCATTAGGAAGCTAATTTTAAAAAAGAAAAATAATGACGATGAAGCCAAATTCTCTAGTCCTATCCTTTAAGAAGACAGTGTGATAAATTATATAAAGACTCAACTACCTATAAAAAATATTGAAAAATAAAAAACAGAAGTATGTTTAACATACAAAGAAACACTATCTTTTGAAATGAAAAGTGTTCTCTTTATAAATGATATCAAGAAAGGAATGAAATTGATAGGACTGTTCCCATATGTAAACAATAGAAAGTAACAGATGATGACAATGAATTATATGTTTTGTTGTTTTTAGTAATATCCAAGAAGCGTGTTTTAATTGAATTTTCATAATTGCAATTATAATTTTCACAGGTGCATGCCTAATAATGGAGAGTTTCTTCTAGAAACCACAATTGTTCTTATTTGTTGACAAATGTTGGTGCATATTTTAGTCAGAATATCCACAAAGGCATGCAAAATAAAACCTATTGTCCACTCTTCTTACTTATACAATTTATCTAGCTTGTGTTTGTCTATGTTCGCATGAATTAGACAACGGCATGCTTTCAAAAGGCTGTCAGTCAAAATTTAGTATTCACAGATGCGTGTTGAACTTACACGTGATATATGGCCCAAATTATACAACCTAACAAAAGTCATGGTAATATCTGACACGGTAAATGCCATACCTGACAAGACAGTGCCTTCACCCATGCATTTTGGTCAACCCCAAGCCAGGCTGTTGAAAACCAGGACATTCGTGAGAATGATTTATGCTCTTTAATTGCCAGTTCATAAACCCTGGCTGCATCATATAAAGCTTGGACAAGTCCTTCACAAAACTCTTCATCTTCCAGTGACCTATTCAGTTTCACCCTCATTTTTTCTAAACCAGTACCGGTGCTAGTTTGAAGACTCCCATTGGTAGTGACACTGTCATCAGAGGAGGCAAACGGTAGCAGATGCACCCTCCTTCTAGGGTTAGAAAACACCAAATAACACTTTCTACAACCTAAACCAGGATTGCCGCTCAATAAAAAATCATATCGTATGAGGCATCCCTTTCTTGAACTCCCCCATTTACTCAATAGTAGGCAATCTAACTTGGACACTTTTTTCCCTGCGTAAGGGGAGCCATTTGAAAGCCAACAATTCGAAGAGCTGCCAGTAGATTTACAATTAACACCAGCACATAAACGATGAATCATATACAAAAACTCAGCTCAAAGAGAATGCAGTAAATACGAAAACCAAATACACTATGTCTTGAAGAGGTGGTGCAACGGATATGGTAATTACGAATTACATCCTTCTGTCATTCAACTCTCTCAAACTCGATAACAAAACATAGCCGTATCATTATTACCTTTATTACCTAAAGAAATTGCAAGAAAACCATCATCGCAAGCCATAAATAGTCTCAACTATTTCATTCTTCACGGATTAAAAACGCTCATTTCCATGCTGCAACAGGCAAAGTGATAAATACGGAAATGAAGAAACACTTCCCGAACTACAATTACCGTCACAAATTCGGTCAAGAAACATCAGCGAAAAGCTATATACGCAACAAGCAAATGATTCGATTATGAACATTAAACTACATGGAAAACCTAGGCGCCTCCACACTCAGCAAAGAACCGTAATTCGTAACCAGCAAGAGAAAGAAGGAATGAAAGAAAGATAGAATGGAAGAAAGAAAGAGTGAAGGAGAAATCGATCATCACCTTAACGAGAGAAAGTTATTGCTGCCGCGCAATGTTACTGCCATGTAGTGTGGTGCAGAACCCGAGAGAAGATTGAGTTGTAGTTAGCGCAGAGAAAGAGAGGGAAAAAAAGAAACAGTGAAATAAAATGGTGGAAGAGGTTATTTGGGCAAACGGACACGGAAGAGAAAAGGAGGGGAAGGATGACGTGGCGAGACGGGTGCTTTATCCGTATACGTGGAGAGTCCGTAAATCACACACCATTGGGTCTTCCATTACTTGCCACCGGGCACGAACCTCTCGGTCCATATAAACATGGAAAATGATAAGTTAACAAAGGGCATATTAGTAATTAGGTTTATAATATGAAATTTGAAGATTTTGAATAAAAGTGGAAGAAGGAAGGAAGATGTAAATTCGCTATAATATTGTTAAATAAATTACTCGTCTATTAATTAAATAAAAACTTTTTATATAATTTATATAATTTAGATGGTGACAAACATACACAAGTATATTATAGAAGTATATCTCTATGAACATCTCTCAAACGCTACAATGACTAAGCATATTTTCAATGAGATGGTATTAAAATAGTTATATTATTATTTTTGGTTATAATTTGTCTCATATAAAAATTGTGTAATGACATAATTATAGTAAAACTTTTTGTGAGAACCTGAAAATAGAGCTCAAGGGGTACCTTAAGTTAATAGGACCAGATTTAAAACAAAAGGGCTTTTCAAACCTCCTGGTCCATTAACTCCAGCACACCATTCTCTCTCTAAGAACTCAGATTCTCTTTTCTCTGCCTTCTCTCTACAACCTCACATCCTTCTCTCTTCAATCTCCTTTCACTAAGCCAGTAGATTTCGTTTTAGGTGGTGCTCAAACGTCCGCGACGTAGAGGGCTTCAAAACCATCCGATCAGTTTTGGATTCTAAGTTGGTAAGTCCCTCCATGCAACCTCCTCTTTATTGTTCTTGAATGGAGACGTATATTCTTATTGGTTGCATGTGCTTTCTTGCTTTCCCTTCTTCCATTTCTACTCAGTTCTAACTCTAGGAGTTGTTTCCATCACCATTTTGGTGGTTGTAGGGTATTGTTCGGGTTCTCGCTGTGAGAGGTACCGTTAGGGCATTTCAGTGAGTTGTGCGGTTTTACTCCAAGGTAAGGGGAGCTAGACATTCTTTTGATTTTTAGTGTGTGGTGTGCATGTGTGTTGAAATCTGAACTGATATGCTGTTTGGAGTGGTATTTCACTTGTTAGGGTATGATGCATTATGTGAACTTGACTGTATAATCTGTGATGCCGGAATTAGTGACTGTGTAATTATTTGCATGAAGTGGATATCTGAAATTGGGTATGTTGGGTGTATGTGTTCTGTTGAAGGGGTACTCAAGTGGAAGGTAAGATTAGTACGCATTGTTTTGAGTAAACTAGTAGAGTTTTGGGTCACCTTGAGAGGAAATGAGGTAATGATTTTGGGGAGTAGGGGTTATGTGCACATTTGGGCTATTGGGACCTCTTAGGCAAGTCAATTGTGACTTGTTAGGATCATAAAACTGGACTAGAACATGTTAGAAGTGGTAAAATTGAAATTGGGTCCTTAAGTATAGAAATTGATGTTTTAAAAGATAAAACTTGATCTTAATCACTTTAGATTAGTAATGGGGAGGTTTAAGATCATCTAAGCAGGTGTAATTGAGCTTAATACACGAATTAGAGGTCTTAGAAGTTGGCCAAGAGGCCTACAAATGGTAAGGGCTGGTGTGAGTGTGTGATTCTGCAGAATTTGCGTTCTGTAGATGATGCAGCTCGCATAGCGAGACCCTATAGAGAGTGCTCACTGTTTGAGTCATTCGTTGTGCGAGCTGGTGCGCTGTGCAAATGACCAAAGGGTGTTGCTCTCAGTTTGTGGATTCGCCTGGCGAATCCTGTCGCTATGCAACTGGTGGTGGTCTGGAACCACTGCCCTTTTAATTCGAAGAGCGAGAGTGATGAAAGCAGCTTCGCTCTTCAAGAATGAGCAGCTTCTCGGACCAGAGGTGGCAGCGGAATTGGAAAACGCAGATGCAGTTAGAGGCGCACGGAAGGTGTTTGATGAATTGTTTGGTGCGATTTTGGAGTGTGTAGGCAAAGGTTCTAACTCAGTAGGTTTTCCAAAGGGGAAAGGAGCTAGAGGAGGTGCTAGATAACAAAGCACAGAGGTAAACTTGAGAGTAATAGCTGGAAATTGGCAACATTTATTTACTTCAATTCAAGTTACATTTACAAGTGATGAAACTCTCTATTTATAGAAGAAGGAGAGCTTCTAAAACGTATTGTGCAAGTTATTTTAAAGATGTACATGTTGTAAAACAGATGGAGGAAGCTTGGGAAGCAAGCTATAGTTGCCAACTCAGCAAAGCAAATGAAGAAGATGGAGTTGCTGTCTTTGGGCGCTGAACGTAGTGCAAAGGCCGTGGGCACCAACCGTCCATTTGTGATTCTTTTGGTTTTCTTACGTGGCAGCCTTTTTGAGTTGCATAGACATGGTTCCTCCCTTTTATTAATATTCTACAAAAGCAATGTAAAAGTATTTAGCAAATAGAAAGAGAACTTAGTAAGTGATACTCCATAAGAGTAAGGTAGTGAGTGTTCCCTCTTCCTCTTGGATTCTCTTGGACATGGCTCCTGTTAAAGGTCTTATGTTAAGCTTAGATGGTCCTCCATCAGAGAGGGGCGCAAAGCGAGAGGGTTTAGGGGTGTGCTCTCTGTCTAGGCCCTCACATGGCGACCTGGGTTCGCTATGCGAGAAGAACTGAGGCCTGTAGCCTCAGCGAGTTAATTCGCATAGCGAGTTAAGTGGGTGCGCTATGCGAGGGACATGTGGTACAACACCTCAACGAGTTAGTTCGCTTTGCGAGTGGGGGTGCGCTATGCGAATCCTTTGAGTCTAGACTTCTCTTTTGTTCTCTTTTCGGTTGAATCAAGTGTGTGAAATGTTGGGAATGCATAGTATGATGTGGTAATGTCATTATATTGAAAGTATGTAAGTGTATGAGACATGTTTGGTGAATGAAAGTGTGTGGTTTAAAAGTATGGTTGATGGACGTAATTCCATGGATCTCTAAGGAGGTTATATGGTAGTGCCCTATAGTATTGGACGTAATTCCATGATCTTCATGGAGAAGATTCATGGTGGTGACGTTAGTGTTTAGAATTATTTGCATGGTAGCTTAGTCTTTGGGGTTATCCTGGAACTACAATGGTCGATCATTCTCAAGTAAAGAGGATTGAACTATGTCGTGAGTAGTAGCAGGAGGTCCTAGTCTTGGGTGCTTCTAGTATGGCCCAAGGTGAGTGATAACGGACTAACCTCGTGAGTGTGGTAGGGGGAAACCCATTAGCAACGGCTTTGCAAAGCAGTAGAGGCCACCACGAGTGCACGACCCGTCATAGCTCGGCAATCATTCTAAGTCCGGACGAGTCAAGTTTAAGTGCAACAAGTCATGTTTGTGTAGTATAGTGTATCTGTCTTTACTTGCATGTTGCATGTGACTGTTATAACATGATTCTTATATCTAGCTCACCCTTGCTTCTATGTTTGTGTTTTGCTTGGGTATGCTTTTCTTTTGCAATGATCATCCACTTGGATGTGAGCAAAGGTGGATGAGGTGTCCCTAGAGCAAGCTTTGGAGGAAGATGATGCAACAACTTAGTTGTTTAGGATTTCCTTGTGATTCCTATCCTTTTGAAATACTCTATTTGCGTTTAAGTTTTAAATTAGGACTCAATTTGGGATGACTGTAAGCTTAATACCTTATTTGCACGTCTACTCTAACTGTTCTCTTATATTAAAATGTGGACTTACTTTATTATATATTCCTATATAATCTGGGACGTTACACTTTTTATATCGAGTTAGAATGAATATAGAAAGTAAGTGTGTTAACATTTTTATAATTAAAAAAATAGAACTTTTTATACTGATTCTAATCGATATATAAAATGAACGTAGTAACATTTTTATAATAAAAAATCATATTAATTCTACTTATAATTTGTATAGAAAGTAGTCTTTTTTATAGGTTTAATTGATTTTTTTGTCCTTAGTTTCATTGCAGTGTGTCAAGTTGATCCCACTTTTAAAAAAAAATCAATTTCGTCCACACTTGGTAAAATTTGCCTCAATCAAGTCTTTTCCGTTAAAAACAAATAAACAGAGTTAAGTGTTTGATGATATGGCAGAAGACAATATTAACTTATTATTTTGTGGGAATATTGGCTGTGACGTGTAAGTGACCTAGAGGTTGACGTGGAAAGCAAATCATGATAGAAGACAATTGGGGAAAAATTAAACCTTAATAAAATTAGGGGTTTTTTGAAGGAAAGCAAATTAGGGTATTTATGATAGTGCGTTGTTGAGTTCGTCATCGAAGACATTTCATCATCTACATTACAAACAAGGCTTAAATGCTTATTTCGTCCCCATGTTAAGAGGTGAATTTCTGTTTAGTACCCGGTTTTAAAAATGTAGACATTGGGTCTCAAAATTGTCAAAATTGTATGAATTGAGTCCCTTCCGTTAAATGGGCACAAACGGAGTTAACTCCCAACTGACGTGGCGGAGAAATCTTCATTTTTTTTCTTCTCTCTCCTCTGATTTTCCTGAAATGCCCCAGCTTTTTCTCTCTTTCCTATATATTTATTAGTTCCTTCGCTTGTCTCACTTGCCCTTGCTCGTCTCACTCGCTTGGATTATCCTCCAACAACTTCACCGGTCAAATTCCTTTTTTCGTCAACAACTTAACCCACCTCACTGGCCTCTTCTTGGAACACAACGCCAGCAAGAAACGTAGATCTCTGTGGCTCGCCGTTGAAGGCTTGCAACCCCTTCTTCCCGGCTCCGGCGCCGTCTCCCTCCTCCAATTCGACCCCGGCCATGAGAGAACTGGTGTTCCGTGGAAGTAGTTGGGAAGTCGAAAAAGTCAGAGAAAAAATGGTCCATTGTGGCAGATGAGTGAGAAGTTGAAGATTGGGAACAGATGGAGTTTGATTCAGATAAGGTGAGATTTGGTTCCTCAAATAGAAAAGAGAAGTTATTTTTGGTGACATCAGAAGAGGAAGAGGGTGTGATCGGAAGAGGAGAGAGTTCTCCGAGAAGGTGCAGTTTTATTTGATTGAGAGCAGAAAGTTGAAGAGGTTTGTCATACAACTGTTGAAAATATACTGTTATATTGTTATTAAATTTTCAACATGCTAGTTTTTTTATTTGAAAACAATGTTCCTCTGTA